AGACATGTTCGATAGGATTCATGTCTGGACTCTGGGGTGGTGTATTTATGGAATGAGAAGGATTATAAATGATTCAATGGCGTACGATGTAAGCGGTGAGCTTTGGATCGCGGACTTGTTGGAAAGAGAAATTTCGCGGGAGATGTAATTCTTCCGCACTTTTGAATAAATTTTGTTTTAATATATTCAAATATGTGTATTTGTCTATAATATCATCTATAAAAATGAATTCGCCAACCGCAGATACTGCCATAGAACCCCACACCATAACTCCACTACCTCCATGTTTTACATTCGATTGTAAATTTCGTAGATTCAATTTAGTACTTGCCTTTCTCCAAATAATATTCTACCATCGGATTTATATATGTCAAATTTGTTTTCATCTGAAAGTAGTATGTTGCTCCAAAATGTTGAATCCTTCGTTATAAATTTTTTGGTAAATTCAACCCTCGTCTTTCGATTTTTTCCCGATATGTATGGTTTTCTTCGCGCAACACACGCAGAATATCCAGCAGTTTTTAATACCCTTCGCACAGTTTTCGAACTTACTTCTTTTTAACATTCTTTATTTAATATCATTCTGAACTTCGAGGAGTTTAATTTAGAATTTTTCTTCACTTCGTTTACAATTTTACGTTTTTCTCTAGCAGATAACTTGGGAGAATGACCACTTCGATTCGAGTGTCAAAATCTGATTGATTTTTAAATCGTTTTACAATGCTTCTAATAGTAAAACGACTTTTCTTAACAATTTGCGATATTTCGCTGTAAGATTTTCACATTTTATACAAATTTAATATTATTTCTCTATCTTCACTTGTCATTCCTTTCGCTTTTCTTGACATTACTTTTGCTTACTTTTCCTGTTGCTAAGCGACTGAAGTTTAGAATGACTGTTGTTAAAAATGACAATCAGGGTATCACCTAACTAGATTTTAAAATGACGATCGAAAATTTTTCAAACGAATGCGGATATACTACATTTAGGAGCATATGCCAATACTTTTGTCCACCCATAAAATGTTAAATAAATGCATTTTTGTTATTGTTTCACGAATCAATGTATTTATATTATTGCTTCTACTATGTAATAAGCTAAAAATAGATAATAAATGAATATGTCAAAAAATTTTTCCTTCAGATCAGTTTATTTAGTAGTTATAAGCACTTGTACCAAAACAACCATGCTGTGCCAATACTTTTGTCCAGCACTGTATATGTATATTTGAAGAATTCTAAAAATGTATGCAAAGAAATTGTGTTCATGGAAATATGTATGCATAATAATTGTACGCACACAAAACGAATCCGACGTTGAATATTTACGTACATTTATCGCATCGCTTCGCTTGATTACTCGGAACTCGAGAGTCCGACATTGTAATGTAGTACAAGACGTATAGTTGAAATAAATCTTCGGTGTATCTACAAATCCACAATTGTGGTTTTAAAAGGAACCGAGAAAATAAAACTCTGTATAAGATTAATCTTATTAGTATAATAATTATATCTGTATAATATTTTGTACTTATTGAAACATGACGTGCACGTTTAATTTTGATCATGATTAATTATTAATATAGACTACACTTGTAGCGTTGAACCACACTACTAATACAAATCAGTTTTATACGAACCATGCTGAAATTAATACATACTTATTTTCAACAGGATAGATTTTTATGCGTTATGAATTATTGATATTCATTTACATTTGTATGAATATACATAATTTGGATTTATTCGCTAGTCTTTTTATGCGAATTTATGGTGTTGGCTTGAAAAGTCAACCATCGTTATGAATACAATTTTAAAGTGGTATAAATTGTGTTTCAATACTTAAAATACAATATGTTTTAAATAAATTAATACTTAATACTGCATACGAGTCAAAATAACTGGTTTCCGATATCTTCTTTCTGCAATTATTATTGAAAATATGGAGTTGTTATTGACAAGAATGTTAAGTCATTCAGGTAGGAACGATATTACATCTGTTTGAAGATAAATAAATTATCTTCATCGCATCAGTTAAATTATTATCATTTCTATATAATCAGTTAACTGCAGACCTGGGTCTTAAAAATCTCTCGCGCTGTACGGAGTTAAAGTCAAGCGAAAACGCGTGTATACATCTTCCGCGAGAGAAATCGTTCTACTATAAATTTTACGAAAAAAGTTAACCAAAACGAAGAAGGATTATATTTTTATTCGATAAGAAGTTAAGTATACATTGTTGAAAGGGTTATTATTATTAAAAACATAAAAATTGTCAAGAAATAATAAAATTTACAAACAGGAAAATAGGCTATCCTAAACGTCCTCTCGATCTAATATCGCACCTTATCACTCTCTTTTGACACTCTTGAATTAATCCCTTGATTTCCTTTTCCATACCCATTTACACCACACATTCATACTACACATAGCCTACTGTCCAAAAATTTCACGCGCATTTTAGGTACCCATTTATTTTTCTCGCACGATTGATGGTCTAGCTTAAACATTCTTTTGATCTGCTATCGCACAGCTCAAAAGATTCATCAGTGGCGCTGACAATCACTCGGTCCACTCATCGGTACCACATTATTTGGAAGAAACAAGTAAAAAAATTTAAGCAAATAAGTAGAAAGTTCAAGCAAAACTTTACTTTCTTCAGAAAGTATCACTTTGTACAATGAACCAAAAAGGTATTGTGGGCCTTCAAATTACGCGTAGATAAACAATCTAATTGCGGAAGATTCGATATGCATACAAAGTATACAAAACAGTGCCGGAAATACCCGAATATACACAGTAAAATATTGTAGGATATTTTTAGGCATTATTTGGGTACGATGGTCGAAGTGTTCTTGTAGGGAGTTAGTGTGACTACAATATATAACCAATTGGGAGCATACCACGTGCATTGAAAAAATACTCAATTCAGTCTGTGAAAAGTAATACATTGTGCGGGGAATATCCAATATACTAAAGAGAAAAATGAATTTCTTTTTCATGAAATACGTGTAAAATGCATTGCAGTTCAATTAGTAATATAAAGAAAATATATTACCAAGTGACATTTTTATTTCGTCTTATTGAAATTTCGGGTTTTCGGTATACACGTCGAACGCATCTGTATAAAGATTTGATTGGTCGTGTATACACGTCTTCCACAGTTAACTGGGTAATATATTTAATTAGATATTCCTAGTTAGTAGTACTAGGGTTTTGGAAAAAATTACATGTTGTGTAGTGTAGTAATTTTCGGGGTCATGTTCAACAGAACCATAGCGAGGAGAAAGTATCATCGTGTAACTTGTCGAAATTGAAATTTTTAAATATAATGTCAGTCATACAGCGAGTCACAAAATTATTCGCTCAATCGATATTGCGATAAAGATTAATTAAGTGACCAGACAAAGAAGGACTTTTTCAGACTTCCCTTAATGGATATATATGTATTATTTACAAGTAAGTGTAACAAAATCATTAAAAAAAGTGAAAAGCTTTGATTCATAATTGCAAAAAAATAAATCATAACTAATCTTTACACTTTTTCACGTCACAAAATTATTCGCTCATGCTACGAACCAAAAAAAAAAAAAAAAAAAAATCGATGTGACTTTCATAGGCATTTGTTTATGATATAAAAGTAGTCACTATACGTAGACGAATAGCTAAGAAAGCTATTATAACTTTTTAGTTTCAACAATTCAGTATTATGGATAGAAAAAGTGAAGAAAAAAGAGGAAACAGATCTGGAAGTCAGAAAAATCATTATTTATCACTGAAAAAATGAAAAATCTATTAAGAATATTGGGGAAATTGTTTGCAGAAGTTATTCTACAGTGCGTTATATTATGAAACGATAGAAGGACAAGAAGAAAACAAAATAAGCCGTGGTAGGAAAGCACTATTAAATTCCGCAGAAGAGCGATTATGTAGTGAGGAAAGTTTTGACTGACTCAAAACTAAGTGCTCCTCAAATCAATTCACTCCTTCAAGATTTTTCTAGACA